TAGTAATAGATGTAGGAAAATATCGGGCTTCTCGAAACTGTCCTCGGGCAGCACCCTATACCGCAAGGTAGCCGAAAGGCGGAGTATTCTTCTTCTTCTTCTTCTTCTTAGATTTAAAAAGAGGTGCTGTGAAAAATGGCATCTTTTTTTTCCATGCAATCTTTTTTTTTCAGCATGAATGTTAATGTAACCATCACATATCATAATAAAATGTAAAAAAATATATATATTTAAAACTTTCCTTTTTTTCTATTCTTTATCAGTATTGTAATATATCCAGCGGATGAGTTATTACTCAAATTGACGGCGAACATATTGTTATTATCCACCGTTTAATTGAATCATCGTTTGTTCGCTATAAAGGCGAGTGCACGACATTTTAAGTTATCTTTACACATTCGAGATGAAAACACAGACGAATTGAACATGAAATGTTTAAAGACGACAAAGGTATCGTGCACTCAATATTCCATTGCTTCACAAACACCGGTTGTTATCATGCGCTGTGTATTATCACTCCGTAACGTCGACGTCGTCTTCTATCGCGTCTTTTCGTTTTCACACCTTTTCTTTCTTCCGTTTCTACTTCTTCTCGTTCTTCGTAACAGAAGAACAAAAATAATTTTCTAACTAATGGAGCTTTTGAGGGTGGCTCTAAAACAAATGAACCTTCCCAGGGATATCCGACGTTCTGTTGGTGACCCATACACATGGTAGGCTTTCATAGCATACATCTATGTATGTATGAATAGAAGCGTCCATTTCGTCATCGTCTTTTCGAAGATGATGATCATGGTCGTACTATTCATACATACATCGATGTATGTTTGCCTAACTATTGCCGGCTTTGTCCACTGTACGAGCCAACAGAATATGTAGGGTATCTCTGGTCGCGCGTGCGCGAAATTTTGCAGCTGCTTTGCTTCGACGAGCTTAGGTTTCAAGATGGCCAGTTTATTTTCTATTTTAAAAATAAAAAAAATTGCATTTTCTTCTTTACATTTTCTATGATTCTTTTCGACCGCGCAATGGCAGGATGATTGGACGGAAGTGATTTCTGTCGTATCTCAAGTCCTTTTTGCAGAAATGACAGTGCTTTCGAGTATTCGCCTATGTTTTCATGTACCAAACCAACGTTGCTGTAGGTGTTAGCCAAACCGGGATGATTCGGAGGGAGAGCTATTTTCTTGATTTCAAGTGATCGTTCATACGATGAAAGTGCTTTCGAGTACTCGCCCGTGTTATTATACACATTACCGATGTTGTTGTAGGAAGTAGCCAAGTCGGGATGATTCGGAGGGAGAGCTATTTTACGGATTTCAAGTGATTGTTCGTGCGATGAAAGTGCTTTCGCGTATTCGCCCATGTTATAATACACCGCGCCGATGTTGTTGTAGGAAGCAGCCAAGTCGGGATGATTCGGAGGGAGAGCTATTTTACGGATTTCAAGTGATCGTTCATACGATGAAAGTGCTTTCGAGTATTCGCCTATGTTTCTATACACTTCGCCGATGTTGTGGTAGGAACCAGTCAAATTGAGATCATTTGGAGAGAGAATTTTCTCGTTGATATTCAGTGCCTTTTCGAAATATAAAAGTGCTTTTGAATACTCTCCCATGTCTTTATACACGCATCCAAGTTGATTATTGTAGTCCTCTCGACCTTGTTCAGACGACGCCTTTGCGAGGAGAATCTGATAGAGTTGTTCAGCTTTTGCAGGCTCACCCAATTTAACAAGTATGAAACCAAGTCCAGACCATCCTGTGCGGCCACCAAGTTCCTCACGTATATGTGCTGTAAGTATGTTCAATTCATGATTGTCATTACCCACAATAGTGAGATTAACTTGGTATAGCCGATCATATTGATTATCGTGAATTCGTTCAATGCGATCGATACGAAAAATCACATGTGTTGTAAAAAGTATTTCTTCTTCTTGATCTTTATAAAAGCCAATTTTGCTTACTTCGGCAAATGGTGTCGATGAATTTGTACAAATAGTCGTGTCAATGGTCATAACGAAGAGAATACCAACTGAAGTGGGGTTCTGTGTCGCTGGCTGTGCATAGTTTTCCAGGGAAATCTCACGATTGAGACTTGTCGACAGAAAATTATTGAAGGACATAAGTCCTCCTTTGTTTTTTTTTATTTTGTCAAAGTCTTCCATGGACAAACCTTGTCCACGAAAGACTTTAAATTTTGTTTGTACCTTGTCTTGTTGCTTGCAATGTAATTCTTTAATATGATTATGTAAATGGCGAATGAAGAAACCCATCTTCAGGATAATATCGACATCCATTTGTCGAAGACCACAATTGAGCATTGAGTAAATAAAATATGGACCTGTGTACCACCAAATGGGTGAATGATTACGATATTCTTGTTCGATCTTTTCAAGTGTTTTTTCGGAAGCATCGCTTTGAAGACGACAGTATTCAACAAGTTCTTTAATCGATTTGACATCGTCATCTTCGATCTCCAAGAGTGCTTCTTTTAGCAATTGTGTATACATAAATAACGGATCAATACGATTAAAACTGATCGAGATCATATCTTGATCACAATTTCTTCGATCGATTTGTAATGCGTCACAAATCGGTTCAATTTGTGTGTATACACCTTTTACTTTAGCAATTGTTTTGGCCCGTCGTTCATGAATCAATTGGTTATCACAGAAAATATAAATTGAGACTAACTGTAGGCATTCTTGAATTATCGGTATTATATGTTGTCCTAGGGCACCAGATATGATCATAGATACTTTCTCGTTCTCAATGTCAGTGAGAAAATCAATAGATTCGTCAACGTCTGTAAACACTGCGACCGTTGCCACTATTTGTTGCAGATGTCTCATTGATTTTTTATAATCGTCTTTGGACTCATCGAAATCGGCATCAAGCCAGACCAAAAGAAAATTTTGAAGCATCCGACGAACGGGGCGTGGCTGTGTGACATTTCTACTCACCACTGTCGTTGCTGCTGTGGATGACTTATTTGGTTTACTTGTGGTAGACGGCGATGAGTCACTAGCATTTGGTTTCAAATTTTTTTTGTTCATTTCGCTGATAATGACGATGATGGTGATGACCTTTTGATTTTCTTGTTCAATTTACGTAAATGAATGGAAACGTGGATACTTGTTGCACACAGTAAAATATGAAAAAAACAAAAATATTTCGTCTCTCTCTAAATATATTTCGGTTTTTTCTTCGTTTTTATGCTGACACTTTCGGCTTTGTTTGGCTGGTTGTTATCAACTTCAAGGACTTATTATCTCGATTATTCTCTCTTTTATTTCAAAAGTGTTGCTGGCTAAATGTAATAGGCAAAATCTATGTACATACTTCAGATATGAGATAAGGAAGAATAAGAACGACACATGCAAAAAAGAATTGCATTATAGTCATAGATAATAGAAAAGGAAAAAAAGAACTTCTAAATATGATTTAAACATATTTTTGTTCTTCCCAGTCAGACAGACACCAAAAAATAATGCGTTAAAACGTTGCAAAATTTTAACGAAAAAAAAAACGTAAAAAGCGCACATTTTTTGGATTTTTTTTTCGTTAAAGTAGATGGATGCGTTTTATTTCGTTCAAAATTTTAACGCATTTTAACGCGTTAAAGTTTTGAACGAAATAAAACGCATTGATCCACTAACGAAAAAAAAATCCAAAAAATGTGCGCTTTTTACGTTTTTTTTTTCGTTAAAATTTTGCAACATTTTAACGCCGTTTTTTTTGGTGTTTGTTTGACTGGGTACCTAACTATCTAACTACCTATCTATATATCTATCTACCTAACTATCTATCTATCTACCTAACTATCTAACTATCTATCTATCTAACTATCTATCTATCTAACTATCTATCTATCTCTCTAACTATCTATCTACCTAACTAGCTATCTAACTACCTATCTATCTATCTACCTCATTATCTAACTATCTACCTAACTATCTATCTATCTAACCATCTATCTATCCATGTAAAAAATTTCATCCAAAAAAGTTACTACTAAGTACTTGCAATAGTAGATTTTAAACAGAAAAAATACTTATAAGCGAATCTTTTTAAGTACTTTATAGTAGTTTTTACTCAAAAACTACTATGAAGTACTTTCCCTGTCTAAAATCCACTATTGAAAGTGCTTAATAGTGTTTTCTTATACTTTTTTTTTTACATGGTTATCTAACTACCTGCCTATCTATCTATCTGAATAGCTATCTACCTATCTATCTAACCACCTATTTGTTCAACTACCTATCAAACTATCTGTCTATCTATGTATCTAACCGCCTATCTAACTACCTAACCATATGACTATGCAACTACCTATCTATCTAACTATCTAACTACATATCTATCTGACGATCTATCTACCTGTATATCTAACTACCTATTTAGCTATCTAACTGTATATGTATATATATATATATATATAGTGATTCGTCGGAAAATATAAACTCCCACATACTCAAACATACCTTCTGATGAGATTTCTAAAGACTATTCTGTTGTTTTTTTTTATTTATTGATCTGAAGTTGATTTAGAGTTTGGTTCAATTGTTTCTGAGAAAAATTAAAATTACAGTTATAGGTGGCGCCACTTTTTTTTCTTTCTTTTTTTTTCAGAAAAAAAGTAAGTTAAATTCAATACTAAATCTAGATTATTAAATAGAAAAACAGAAGAATTTTTTAGTGAAATTTCAATCAAATTGAATTGTAGTGTATGTCAAAGTGTATTTTTCATTCGTACTAACAGTTTGCTGATGCGAGAGAAGAACGATAAACACATTTCAACTTGTACATAAGCAAACAGATCATTTCAGACATCTTTTGTCGATTTAAAATATTCTCTTAGAACGACGTTGGGATAGTATCAAAACAATTCACAACGAATTTTTCGATACTTTCTATTATTCTAAATAATGTCGAGAAAACTTGAAATATATATACATCAAGGGCCAGGCAAATCAGGCTCATTAAAACTTAGCTTTTATTTTTCCCTGTCCGTTTAAATGGAAAATATCATGTTTAAATTACATTGAAAAACTGCCCTACATTCATAACAAAAGATTACTATGCATATGGTTGGTTGAAAATGACAACTAACGTGAAATGATGAATTCAGCTACTGAATAATAGAAAAGGAGAAAGAAACGAAATATTCTCGAATTTCATGCATAACAGTCTTGTGTCTAGACGAATAACAATCGGCAGGTGTAATAAGAAGCATAATGACTTCTTTATCATGTCGATAAATAAGAAAGAAATATAACTGTTAAAAGAAACAAACTGTTTCGTCTAAATCGATCTTATTCAATCAATGCGATTTATTCATCTAAAGACCACTTAATAAGTGACATTTAAATGAGTCCTCTATTAATCCTCAGCTTTTTTTCGTGTTAACAGTATAAAAAAATATATATATATAGAATTCTAGATTTCTTCATCATTTCTCACTCGCATAATCTTATATACACTTATCAATGCTAAAAAGAGAAAACAAGAACTTGAATGGTTCAACAAAAGCTCAACCGGTAAATTTTTCGACAACAGATATTGTACGCAATAAGAAACTGTCCATCAAGGACATCAAAACTAAGGAGACAGAAGTACGTCAAAGTGAATAAGTCTGGACACAGAGAAGCTCAAACATCTCTGAGTGTTCCGACAAATAATATGGATGTTTTCGTTTTCTTTCGCATAATTTTACAAAAATATTTTGAAGCCTCTTTTTTTAAGAGTATTTTTATACAGAAAACGAACTGTATGATTCAACTGTAGATAAACGTGCTATTCAAATAACTAAAGATTGGATTAAGTGAACAGATTGTTTTCTTTGAAATGATAATGTAAAGGGTGGGGTGTGGGTGTGGGTGTGGGTGTGGGTG